TAGAAGACAAGCGAGTTGCAGATGTATGTTTTGTTAGATGGTTTGATTTGATTCAGATCGGTTTGTATTATCAGTGCCACAATTGATTTAAACTTTGACTGCGTTTTATTTAGCTAATGCCAGGGTTTACACATATTTTGGACTTTGATTAAAACGGAATAATTTATTTTTGCATTGGTGAGAGGAGCTAACTTCTTCAAGCTCCTGGGAGTATCACTTCTAACACCTTTGTGTGCTAGGAGCTGCTGTGTGATGGGCACAGTTCCATTTCCTGTCTGAATCCAGGGCACAGTTGTCAGGCCATCGGCAGAACGTTTACTGGCAGCAGATTTCACTGCTCCTATAAACAATCCCAGTGCCGTTTCCAACTTCCTTACTGTTTGATTGAAATTTCTTTTCATTTTCACCTATTCCATCCAAACCTGTTAGTCCACACAATTCCTTTCTTTGTCAGAATTCCACAATCAAGCTCTCACAACATTTTCCCGCTGTTTGATGTTTTCCAGAGATCACAGCGCAAACAGAATCCTGTGAGGTCCGGCAGGACTGGAAGCCTTCTTTCCTCAGCAACGAGGAATTCACCCAGTTAATGCTGGAGGTAAAGGAATCTTGTAACCGTCATATCTGCTTCATCAACCTTCAGTTTCTCTGTTGCCCTGTGGGAATACTCCACACTCCAGCTGTATTTCTTAAGTACCTTGCTGTCAACACATCATGTATTTAGCGAGGCTATGAGATGCCTTATAGCGCTGCTTCAGGCATAACTGTGGAGACCACTTAAAAAGAAACATTACAAACAAAGGAAACTCATGTAAGTTTAACTTCAATCATGTAGCAGAAATACAGGATGTTAATAAAGAGAGTCAGGCTGACCTGTGCACAGCATTCCTAAAGCCTTAAAACCGGAAGTTGAGCTTTATGGGGCATTTTTGAATTATCCCCAGAGTTTCCAGCATTAAGGAAACATTCACACTTGAACACTTCCTTTCAAAAACAACCTCTGGCTCTTCTCGGTTCCCAGTCTTAGATTTGCCAAGGTACAAGTCCAGTGAATAAGGCATGTAAAAGCAGCAATGTGGGAGATGGTATGGGTTGGGGAATCCCTCATTTGTTTCTCCTTGCATAAAGAAAACAATGAAAAAAAAAACAGTGCGACCTCAAGAGGCTGATAGACAACATTCTTCAGCTACCAAGGTTTTTCATAAGCAGCTTTCTCAGCTATGATGAATTGAATACCCATTTATTACATTGTGTGAGGACAAGACCAATATTCAAAGTTCAGTTCAATCATTCACTGAATAATGACTGATGATTCAGTACTGACGGAATTTTCATTTTTAGATAAACTATTTCTTAAATAACAAAAGGAACATTGTCATCAGTATATTATGAGAATTTCTGCAGATTCATAACAGAATTTTTTTTGTGTTATGACAGGCATTGGATGGTTTCCTAATAGCTCTTACCACAGATGGGAACATCATATATGTATCTGACAGTGTCTCGTCTCTCATTGGTCATCTACCGGTAAGTGAGGGATGGGATTCCAATGCAATAAACCCCAATCCAATGTATCCAAGAGGACTTGATTTCATGCTTTACTTTAACTCTGAGAATGCCATGACTAGTCTGACAAACTAGTCAGATTAGTAATATAATCGTCATGTTTTTCTAAACTTAGATAAGGCAGCCCACACATGGCAGGTTTTCTGTAGGCTGTTGACAACAGTCCTTAGGAAATGCTTCAACATTTTTTTAGACCTTCAATTGTATTTGGACAGTATCTAAAAATCATGAAATATGAAGTATATAAGTGCTATGGCTCATGGAATATTTTTCTGAAATTGTCTGAAAAATATACCCCCAACTGAAGTGGAAGGTTATTGGCAGTTAAGTGGTTTCACTTATTACAGAAAAAAAGCCTATTTCATAAACCTGAATCAATGTTCCTCTCTTCTTAATGCTGCAAATGCGTCAAATTCCATTCATTGTGTGATCACATGCTGCCAGTCTAATGAGATTTGCTTCCAAACTTTACCTTTATTTCGGTTCCTGCTGTGTCTGAGTTACAAATGCGGTTGGATGATACTGATGGATACTTTCAAACTGTCAAACCCACCTTGACCTTTGGCCTTATTCAGCAGAGATGAGGGCTTAGCAGACCCTTGTTATTGAAGAACAGAACAAGCTGAACTCAGGTGGCACTGAAGGCCATGTAGCCATTATGGATCTACTCAGATTGTGCTAATACTCTTAAGATTTTCTTGAGATGGTGGTTGGGTTGGATGGAACTACTAGCTCCTATAACAGCAGAAAGCTGCCTCTATCCACAAGGCAGTTTTAGAATTCTTTTTGTACTATTATAGTATTTATTAATATTTTGAATAGTATTTGATATGGTTTCAGTCATTTAGTTTTTGTTAGTTTTACATAGTATTTGATGTGTGATTGAGATTTAATGAGTTTGTCATTTTAGCTTATGTATTTCAGTTAGTTGGCACCATTTCTAATTGATTTCAGCTTTATTCAAACGGACCTATTTCACATTTATCATTTTAATAAAAAAAACACTTATCTATGTCACGATCGCTACTGTGAGGAGCACGGAGAGAGGAACGAGGAGACGTGGAGTAAACTTCAAACGAACAGATTTTAATAAACATCCAAGGAACCAGGAACACACACGTAGCGGGGAAAGACGAACATTCAATACCAGACGCTAGACTTAGGAAAACACAGGGCTAAAGTAATGGGACTAATCAATGAAATTAACTGGAAACACCTGGAACAAATGATCATAATTGAACATGAGGGAAAACTGGGTCATGGAGCACGTGGGGGGAGGAAAAAACACAGATAGAGTCCAGGGGCATGACATATCGCCCCCCTCCCGGAAGGTGCGTCCTCGCGCCGTAGAACAACAGAGGGGGGGCACGGGTGGAAACTTGGGAGGAGGCACGGGAGGAGGAAGAACACCCGGGCGGGGCCCGGCAGAGTCCAGGGAGGTGACGATGGAGGGAGGAGCCAGGGAGGCGACAGGAAGGACTTGGAGCAGGAGGGGCCAAGCAGGACCCAGGCCACAACCATGATGGCGACCCACGGTGGAGCCGACGGAGGGAGGAGCCATGGAGGAGGAATGGCCGCCGACTCCAGGGGAACCCCCAACGGTGGCGGAGCAGGTGGCGGAGGAGCCCGAGGCGGAGAGCTGATGAGCCAGGGCACCGGCGACTGACGCGGAGACATGGATCCGAAAGGCCGCGGTGGAGCTGGAGCAACAGAGGACTGAGGAGGAGCCGAAGGGATGAAGGAGCCTGACGGAGCCGGAGGGACAAAGGGACGAGGCGCAGCCGGAGGAGTGGAGTCCCGAGGCGCAGGATGGTCGACCTCTCTTTACTGGACTGGGAAACGGGAGCCCACTCAGGGCTGGACATGACCAGCGGGGACGAAGGAGAGAGGAGAGGGGGCAAGTCCGCTTCCAGCTCTGTTTCCCAGTCTATAAGGTCCCCCTCGAAGTCCAGCAGTCCCAGATGTATAATCAGCTCACCCTCAGCCGCGGTGCAGTTGGTGAACGGGGATCCGTGTCTCACCAGGGTCCACTCCACAAAGGCGGCGAAACTCACTCAAGGGCCTTCCTCGGACGACGGCACTCTGTAAGCCGGGTTTAGACTGGTGTCATAGAACGCACAGAGCGTGTCGTCCGGGTAGCTGGAGAGGTTGGCGAGAACCAGGAACAGTCTGGTGTGGCCCTCGAGCGATTTTTCCCCCTGCTCAAGCAGGAGGAGGAGGTATTCAGGGCGGGCGTGGGGATCCATAAGGGAACACTACAGAAACAAAACACTGAGCAAAAACGGAAACAAAATCGGAGGGAACACACAGAGGTAACTGTTTCGGTCTGGTATTCTGTTACGATCGCTACTGTGAGGAGCACGGAGCGAGGAACGAGGAGACGTGGAGTAAACTTCAAACGAACAGACTTTAAAGGGGTCATATGATGCGATTTAAAATTTTCCTTTCTCTTTGGAGTGTTACAAGCTGATTGTGCATAGATAAGATCATAGTATTTGATATGGTTTCAGTCATTTAGTTTTTGTTAGTTTTACATAGTATTTGATGTGTGATTGAGATTTAATGAGTTTGACATTTTAGCTTATGTATTTCAGTTAGTTGGCACCATTTCTAATTGATTTCAGCTTTATTCAAACGGACCTATTTCACATTTATCATTTTAATAAAAAAAACACTTATCTATGTCACGATCGCTACTGTGAGGAGCACGGAGAGAGGAACGAGGAGACGTTTTAAAAAAGCATCATATAACCCCTTTAATAAACATCCAAGGAACCAGGAACACACACGTAGCGGGGAAAGACGAACATTCAATACCAGACGCTAGACTTAGGAAAACACAGGGTTAAAGTAATGGGACTAATCAAGGAAATTAACTGGAAAGACCTGGAACAAATGATCATAATTGAACATGAGGGAAAACTGGGTCATGGAGCACGTGGGGGGAGGAAAACACACAGATAGAGTCCAGGGGCGTGACAATGTACATTTATGACACTATAATTGGTATTTTATTACCTTTGCCTCAATTACAAATGGAAATGCAAAAAAAAAAAAAACATATTTGATGTAGTCTACAGTTAACCTCTATAGAAGTTACCCAACTATGACATCTTCTGCTTTTGAGAAACCCGAAAATGTGAAAAGGATCCATTACCAAAAGCTATTTTTAATAGATTTAGTTTTAGTAGCAACACTGCCACAAGGTGGTTTATTTTGATGGTGTAATTTTAATTGATAACCATAAATACTACTGCTGCTAATGCTACTACTTCTTTTAATAATAATGTTATACTATTTAAAATTATTTTTAAAAATGATATGTGAAAAGTGTTAGATTTCTTGTGAAATTATGTTGTACGTAAGTGCTTAATATTGTGGGAAATGTAGTGCATTGTGTAGCACTAATGAAAGAGAGCAAGGCGTGACGTTGTCATGGATACTGCTGTGTCTCAGTCAGATATGGTGGACCAGAACATTTTGAACTTCCTGCCAGAACGAGAACATGGAGAGGTGTATAAACTTCTGTCATCACACATGCTGTTGACAGAGCCTTCTGCTGTGGACCTACTCAACAGCAGTGAGTATACATACAGTATGCATGCATGCACAGATCAACACACAATCTATCACACACACTCGCACACACAGATGTATGCAGTATGCTGTGAGTGCGTGCTGTCTTAGTGGCTGGCTGTAGTGTGCTCTATGATTACACTCATGGCTAATTATAGAGGCTCAGTGCGTACAGTGTAACAGATTATCTGTTACAACACTCTGATAATCCCACATACATCTCTTACCCTGACCCCAATCCCTAAAACGCACACACACACACGCTCACCAATACTGAGAGATAATAATACTGGTTGAAAAAACAGTCACTGTTGATTATTTATCTTATTCGATCAGCAGAACCACCTCTGTTTCACTGGTCACACTCGCTTGTGCACAAACACACACACATAGAGACTGTTGTACAGTCAGTCAGGTCATTGTACTCTATTTTAGGATAATCATCAAAGTCACACTGGGGCCACAGCCATAATAGAACATTAGCCTCAACCTTGTGTATTCGTCTGACAAACCGAATTCCTGTTATATCAGCTGCTAATAGTCTCTTTCCTTTCCCTGTGCACTCTTTTTCTTTTCTTTCTTTCATTCAGATGAGACACATGTCGAGTTCTGCTGTCATTTAGCAAGGGGAAACATTGACCCAAAAGAACCGCCCACGTACGAATATGTCAAATTTGTTGGAGATTTCAAGTTTCATAATAACGGTGGGTTTTTATTTGTCACTTTTAGTACTCCCAGCCACATGTAACACAAACAGAGACACTAATGATTGATGGATAGATACATTTTTTATTACGTGATTCTAGAAGTAAACTTCAGCTGTGATAACAAGCATTTGGAATGAACACGCATTTGTTTTTCTTTCTGTGCATTTGGTTGAGGAAGAGATTTCATGAGGAGGAGGCATTTGCCTATGTTGGAATTATTGGTCCGTTTCCTCATTTGCATGTAGAATGTCATTGTGAGGTTACATCTTTGCTAATAGGAAATGTGAAAATGAGAAGAATCTTGGAATTGAAATAGACAGGAAACATTCAAGCCATGGACAGAACTATGCTAGTTCTTTGTAAACACTTATTTGCAATAAATTTAAATACCTTATTATTTACTATCTTATTTGTTTAGTATAAAATAATTCAAATATACTTGAATTCCCTAGTGAAAAATAAATGTACTAAAATGTATTTGAAATGCTAAGTATACTACAGATACATTTACATTTTTATGTGCCTAATAAAAATACCCTTTATATTCGAAAAATAAAATACCCTTTATACTCAATTGTAATTTAATTGTGCGGAAGTAGCGCTGACGTACTAAAGATATACTGAAATATATTTGTTTATGCTAAAGTGGAACTATTGCATTTAAATAGTTTATATCTTGCATTTAAAGATCAATGGCCACGTACACAATGCAAGTTTCAGGAGTGACAGCCGCATTAAATGCGGGAGTGAGTCCTGTAAATTATCGTTCCGTGTGTGTACGGAACAGCAGTCACTCCCGCATTTGTAACCATAGAAACATTTTGGCGTCTTGCGGGAGTGAATAAGAATTTAGCCATTTGGTATCTGCCATTTTTCGGCTAAAGTCTTTTTTTGTCCGTCGATTTTAACTAAACTAATCTATTTTAATGCTCATAGACGTGCTGTGTTTTGTTTATGCTCCGGAGGCTGCTTAAGAGAGCGCTGTCTTGCCGTTTTGCCATGTCCTCATATTTACAGGTGTTTTTAGGCATGTTGTTTGGTCTTAGCTCATTAAGCTAGGCACTTAATGGAGTTAATAAAGTGGTCTGTTGCAGAAATGAGATACATTTTTTTGGTGTTATAAAACAAAGCATTTGGGTGTTTTTTGTGCTTGGCCTTGTTTGTTGTTGTTTTTTTGTCTATGAAGATCTGGCAACACTGACACTTTACTGCAGGGCTTGGGAGCGCAACTAGCCCCGTGTCAAAATGTGCTAAGGTTAAGACTTATTTCACTTTTATTTTCTTGCATCTCACATACAGACTAAGACACATTTCTGATGCAAGTTTAAATACGTCATTAACAACTAGTTGTTCAGTTTGGTTCCGTACACACTGCGTAGAATTTAATGCGTAGAGTTAATGCGGTTGTTGAATGCGGTTGTCAATCCCGTATTTTAGTGAATTATGTGTGTGCAGAACGTGATTAAGGAGTAAAAGGTGAACTGACAACCTATAATCCTCATCAACAGTGACATTGAAACACATTTTAGGCGTAATATTAAGAAATGTGCATTGTACACAAGTAGTACTCCAAATAAAGTTTAATTATAATTTTTATATCAGTAAGTCTTGACCGAGTCAGTAAATATGTAAATAGATTTGAACTATACTTGGTATGAAATAAATGTATTTTAAATATATTACTTTTTTACTAGGGCTATTATTATTTGAAATACAATTTAAATCATAATATAAAATTAATGTTTTTATTGTTTATGTGTGTGTGTGTGTGTGTGTGTGTATATATACATTTTGCTTAAAATAAAATATATATATATATATATATATATATATATATATAGTTTTACAAACATTTTATTATTTTACTAAATTTGAAATATAATTACATTTTAAAATATAATTAAAAACTACATTATATTTTTATTTATTTTTACTTTTCTTCAAGATTTGTATTTGTCACATACACAGTTTTAGAGAGAATACAATTTCAGCTTCTTAGACTGTGCAGATAGACATATTAAGATGAACATAATAAAAATAATAATAAATCAAAATAGGAATTTAAAAAAAATGGAAAGAAAAAATACATTTTAAATTCTTTCAGTGCCATTCTTCCACTAGAAGATAGTGGAATATATGTAAAATGTACCTTGGCCTAAGAATAATACTTGATCTCTAAAATCTGGTCATTGTATGTTTTTTTAAACAGAACATGTTTTCTGTGTGTCACAGTGCCTCTGTCCTCAAGTAACGGTTATGAGCTGGCGTTCCCACGCACGCTGCAGTCCTCACTAGAGGAGCAGATCTGTCTCGTAGCCACAGTGAGACTCGTGACCCCTCAGTTCCTAAAGGTAACAGAGGAACCACCCCCACATACACACAAACACACTGATTTACATGCACTTAAAAATCAATGCTCACAAATCAGTGCTCACATTTTGCTTGCATTCATCCTTATGTCAAAGGAAGGACAGATTTATTGTCTGTGTGTGTGTTAAAGGATCTGTGCAACGTGGAGGATGTGTGTGATGAATTCACATCAAGACACAGCCTGGAATGGAAATTTCTCTTCTTAGATCATAGGTGAGTCAAATGCTGCTTCATTATGCAAACGACTCCTCTGATGTTGTGATTCTGCATGGTCTTTTATGCAACATGACTCATTTACGTCCATTTGAATCATGACTCCTTCTGATTATGTCATTTGTTTGATTCATTCATTCATCAGTTGCTGACCCACTTACATCTGCTAATGCAGACTTTCCGCTGTCCCACGCACGGCTGCGAGGGCCAGCAATGTCATCAGATGTGCGTGTGCTTGAATCAGTTCTCACACTCGTATTTTAATATGATGTTTTTATTCTGCTGTGGCCATTCATAAATTTCAGCATAGAGATGATTTACTCAGGAGGCATTTGTGACCCCCAGAGAGTTACATAACCGTGTGTGTGCGAGTACTGGATGTTCCTGTTCCCTACAGCGCTATAATTGTACATTCGAGCTGTCTCGTCAAACTCTCTCTTTTAAAGGAGAAGCGTGTAATTTCTACATCACTCACTCAAAATATTGTGGTTTTCAAACAGGTTTCCCAAATACTCCCTGTGTTTTTCTTGCTCAGTCATACAGATAGTCCCGTACCCAAAATCATGCTATTGGTTGAACCAGTGTTGCTGTGTCAAGCCGGTTAAGAAAAGTGTTTTGAAACACTGTTTACATTGGGAAATCAACCTATAAAATGTACAAATGGTTTACTGTCTCTGTCAAATGTAAATTCATGTCCCAGTCACATTTCCTTGGTTAAATAAATATTACAGAAGTATCAGAAAAAGAAAAAAAATCTATTTTATATTTTTACATTAACAATGTAATCAATATTCTATTTATTAAAGCCAAGCATGAATCTCATCAAGTTAGTGTTTTTAAGTATTTTACATTTATTGTAAAATAATAACTCAAGGCAGTAACAATTTAAACAATATATTTTATTTGTGAACTTATGTTCAGCTATGCTTTTTAACATTTTTTTTTTTCTTTTTTTTTTTCTTTTTCTCGGATCATCTGTCATATATTGGTCACAGACAAAATAAATTTCACCAAGCTGATTACTCACTAAAACGCCCACAGATCAACAAAGTGGTTATATCTTAAGTGTGTTGAATTGTTTACTTTTTTAAATTAGTTTTTACTTTTTTTTGTTTTTACTTGAATTGTTTATTTTTTTTAATTAGTCTTCCCATTACCGCCATTATATTGTTCTCAAGAGGCGGGATTTATCGCATGAACCAATCACAGCTGAACTAACCAGTCATATCCAATCATATCGCGATGGAGGCATTGCCTCCTCTCATGTGACTTCCCCCCATTCATTCTCAGTTACCCCCCTCCAAACTTATGACACACCATAGGGGGTCTGTTAAAACTCAATGGGCTCAGGGGAGGCGAAAGAGACGCCGACTCCCACTGTAACTTTACCTGCTGGTGTCGCTGTTGGACAATGTTTCTTTAGAAAAACGAGTGATTTATACACTTTTTAATGTTATATTTTGTAATATTGGTATTGTTTTAGTTTTGTAGTACTATTTTTTTTTTCTCATTTAGTATTTTTAGGAGGCACTGCCTCCCTTGCCTCCTCGGAGGAAACGCCCCTGGTGTGTGTGTGTATTTTTAATGTTTGTATGTTTTATATATATTATTACCGTAAAAAATATAATAACCATTCTAAAGTTTGGGGTCAGTAAGATTTTTTATTTTTTTGGGGAAAGTATTTTTAAACTACAAGAAAATTACATTTATTTAAAATATATTGTTATTTTAAATTAAAATAATATTTCAAAGTATTACTGTTTTACTATATTTTTGATTAAGTAGCCATGGAGAATCTTAACGTGTCTCTTTATTTACACACAGACACATACAAACAACTTTAAATAAATGCTCACACAAGCACATTCAAGCTTTTTAAATATTTTAGGATTAATAATATTTGTAACTTACAGATATCTGTGTATAAATGCCTGTTCATAACTACTTCAAGAGTAGTTAATATTCTTGAACTAGTCAGCACAATTAATTAAGTGTTTTACAGTATCTGTTGTTTTTGTTTAACTTATGTTTCCATCTAGTGGTTAGATTGTGTTACTACAAATCTTAGTTTGGCCTTCAAAATTGAGCATATTCTCAAAAATTCACTACATTCCAGGATCAGTCTACAGCTTTTCACAATAAATATATGAGTTAAACGAATGAGAAGTAAAAACAAATGCTTCTTCTCTATCTAAAGCTATGCTGAAGTCCGAGCAGAAAGAAGGAGAGAGATTGGATTGGAGGAAAGCTCATCTGATATGGCAACATCCTCAATCAAGGTCTACACATGCCCAGGAAACACACACAGTGGTGTTTGTTTAATAAATAGTTTTTCATGTTTAAGATTGATAGATTACCAAAGATGTAGATTGATTTTGTTTCTTCTTTGGAACAGATTTGGAGAAATGTAGCATTCCATCACTTGCTCACCAATGGATCCTCTGCAGTGAATGGGTGCCGTCAGAATGAGAATCCAAACAGCTGATAAAAACATCACAATAATCCACAAGTAATCCACATTAATCCAGTCCATCACTTAACAACTTATGAAGCTCTTATGAAAAACTGTTTTTAATAAATAAATCTATCATTAAGACGTTTTTAACTTCAAACCGTTGCTACTTGCTAAAATACCAGTCCTCATCCATAATATTGCTTTCTCCATTAAAAAAATTCATCTTGTCTGAATCAAGAGAGAAATGTGTGCAGATCAAGCACCATTTACAAGCAAAAACAGTCCAAAACAGTTCTGAACAAATATATTGCTGTGTTTTGATGTGAGAGGACAACAGGGGATGAACCTTTTCTCTGGAGGAAGTATTATGATGGATTTTCGATTATGGATTTTGCTGATGGTTGAAAGTGAAAATGCCTTAATGATAGATTTCCTTCTCACAAACATGCAGCATTTCACTTCAAAAGACATTAATTGATGGACTGGAGTGGTGTGG